ACCATTTATACCATTAATACATATTTTATATCCCATTATGGGATGCTGTTCTGGAGGAATTTTTCAGAAGGTTGGAATATTTCAGAATTTCACAATTCTGGCCCGCATTAGCAGGAACCTACCATAATGCGGCCTGCACAATAGATTCAAAAAAATTTTTGAATTTTCCATCTCTGGTGGGGACTAGAGATATATGATGCCCTAATTTTTTCGTGCAGTACGTACAGTGTGTATCTAGTGATCTGATTGGTAGAAATGATTAGTAAACTTTTCGCGTACAGTACGTATAGTACTGTTATACTTGCCACCAAAATCTCTCAAAACTTTATTAATTGTCTTTATCTAAGCAAATTAAATATATCAACAAAATATCAAAACAATCTTTTTTTATTTAAGTTTTTAGAGATAGCAATTACTTTTTTGTAAATTTAGGATTTGTACCGATTTTGGCGGCAGTATAAATACTGTACGCGGAACATCTCTAGTTGGGACACTAGGTGCGATGCGTTTCAATCGTAGAAACTTAGATTTATGGCTAACTCTAATAACATTCCTACATGTCGTTATTTTGACACAACTAATACTCATTATTCAATGGTTGGTAATTTTGAATATTTTAATGCTGCATTTATATGTAATGTTCTTCAATTTAGATCAACATTTATATGTAATATGCTTTAATTCAGATCAGTGTTATTTTTGGCACATCTCCGGTCACTGTGTATTAGGAATAATAAAAAACAGTTTATAACATTTTTTTACCCATTTAAAACATGTGATGATTAAAGTTCGAGTACTGATTTAAATAATGCTCACTTGTTTTTTAATTTATCTTCACCTGTTCTTAATTACGTAATAAAAAACATTTGCCATCCCTACTGTGTATATTGGATCTCTGGAGGTAGTCGAACTGGATTTACTTCTTTTACTGTATTAATCATCTTTTTTATCGTTATTCTTTGCACCTATTTTGTCAGCATAGATTCATGAGCTTTTGTTCCTGCCTTGGTACACGTTACTTTGGTTATTTCAGCACTCTCCAAAACAATGTACCGTTGGCCACTGCCTACAGTACCCAGGGTATTATTCAAGAACTCCATTTTTAAAATTGAATAGTACCCGTGGGTACTGTGTGAAGAACCGGGTACTATATTTGGGGGCATATCATATTAAAAGTAGTAAATCAATATGGTTGTACCCCCGGGTCTTATTCAAGTAACAAGCCAGTAAGGGTGGTGAATAATACCCGGGTCTTAATCATGGGGGGTATTATTTTTGGGGGATACTGTAAGCAGTGGCCAACGGTAATTGATTGATATATCTATATGTCGGTTTAACCAGAAACATTCTCATATTAAGCATATAGTTCAAACAAGTTGTTATAGCCAGATGTAATTATATAAAGATGTCGATATAACCAGAGTATCGCGTGATTATTGCCTTCATTGTGGCAAAGATGTTAAAGACATTAATTGGAATATATATATTGGTGATGCTTTGGCTAGTTTCTTGTAAGTATCTGTGCTATATGTAGAATTTAAAGCTTATTTTCACATTTTTTTATTTATATGATTATTATGGTTATGGCATTATTATATAATGTCGTTTATGATCTGAACGTTGAAAGTCATTTACATAATTACTAATACTATTGCATGGTGAATAGATGGGCATTACAGTACATAACCATTTCTATTCGAGTGACCCAGATTTTAATTCATTTTAGTTTGCGAGTATGAATGTAATAATGCAAATTAAACTTAACTTACTTTAAGTTGCAGAATAGAATCGAGCCAATAAAACCGTAGCTTATAATTAAGAAGTAAACTCAAATTATGACGCATATTATTTTTAAACTACATTCCGTGCTACAATATCATAACTCAAGCTAGAGCCATGTTTTTAAGAGCTGAGCCAGGACATCCAAGCAAATAACTATTTACTACATATTTATATTTTGTGAGTATAAAGAATATACTACATATTTATATTAATCTTAATATTTAATTAATATCACATTCATGAATATTTACATACCATTTTATTCGCATTCATTTAATGCATGAGCATAGAGAACATTTATACCTCTAAGTCTTCAAAATAAGTTATTCAAGTCTGTGAATTAGTTCCATTTTATTCGCAATAATTTAATGCATGAGTATAAAAAACAATTTCTTAATCAAAATATTATTCCAGTTTTGTTTATTATTTATATTTGTTTTAGATTGTAAATATAATGAGAATTAAGCTATTCAGGTTCATAATATTTACTATTTATACGCATGAATAGTGAGCATTTAAATCAGATATTCTAGTTCATAAATATTTACCACTTAATTCATTTTAATCGCATTAATTTAGTGCATGAGAATAAAGAACTTTATTAATCTAAGTATTTTGGTTCATGAATATTTACTGTCGCGGCTGATGCTGGAAATGGCTGAAGCTGGAAATCAGGGACCCCGATTTAAAAATATAAACTCTGTCAAAATTCACTTATACTCTTTCATTATCAAAACTAACCCTAAATCCTAACCTAACCATGAAAATAGCTAAAAAAAAATGCGCCCCAAAAAAATTTGAAAAATTCATATTAAAATATTTAAAATTACCAGCTTCAGCCGTTTCCAGCGTCAGCCGCGACATTTACTATGGCAGTAATAAAATAATGCGTATTACGTATATGCAAAAACTCAAGAATTAACTTCTTATCAAAGTCCTATTTACGGAGTCTGGACTAAAAAGATTGAACGTTTAACAGCCCTTGCTCCGTGCTCAATGGCACGGTTCTCGCTAGTCTTTATACAAAGCGCAATAAAATATTTCGATCAGAATCAACTGATTTTTGGTATCATTCGATTCAGCCCGATAGGACGAATCAAACGATATTAAGATCACTTGATTTAAATCAATAAATCAAATGAAACTCTTTTACGGAAATCGTTTTGTAAATATTGTTTTAGTAACAGCTAAAAATAATTTTATTGCGATGTCAAAATTTTTTTATTGTAAGCATAACATATTTTAAATCACAATTCTATTCAACTTTCAGTTAATGCATGGGTGTAAAAAACACCACAAGTGCGTTTCAGTAAAGTCTTTTTAATCTTGTGAAGTTACACAAACCAACAAGCAATATGATTGGCTAACTAAAATAATTAACCAATCAGATTTGTTGTGTAAGTCACATGCATAAATTTGGTTTATAATGTGATATTTGGTAAAAAAAGAAAAGAAAAAAGAAAAAAGAAAAAGAAAAAGAAAAGTGATTTATTGTTTCTAATCTTTTTTGAAAAATTCTCGTTTTCCTGGTATGTATGTACAAAAAAACCTCCCCAAATGCACCCTCTCGCTCGGGACCATAGTAAAAAATTTCAAAAACTTGCACTTAAAGAGGGCGTGCATTTATAGAAAGCAAAATATGTAGTATTATTATAAGCTGGGACCAGACTACACCGTGCACTTAAAGAGATTTATATAGAGAATGCATTTATGGAAGCTGCATTTAGAGAAGTCTCTCTGTAGTAAGAAAATGCAGATTAGAATAGACTTTCAAAAAAAGAAAAATTAGTACGATGATACAAGTCTCTCCAAACCTGATCATATGAGTTTCCCTAAACAGTCTTAAGGCAAGGTGTTTATATATTGAAAGGTATATATGAATTCCTATTTATATATTTTAAAGTACCTTTCGAACACATAATAAAAGGTATCATAATTGGCTGATTTAGATCAATTCTTCAATATATATGTTGGTATCACATTAATATCTGCTAACGCAATTTTAATTTTGACGTACAAAATTAAATTATTCATCACGGCGAATTTATGAAATTAAACTAAAATTCGGTTATCAAATCTGAGTATTTGGTCCCCAATTTTAAATTTTTAGTTACTAAATTACATATTAATTAAACCCCGAAAAGTTTTTTTGGCCTCTGAACTTGATTCATAACGCGTCTAGCCCATCTTTCCCACGTGCTAACCCATCTTCTCCACTTTTGACGTATCTTATTAGACATAGAAATTTATTATAATGACGCACCTTCTCCCGAGGATAGTAGTTACTTCGGCCAAAAATCATTATTGTTTACTTAGTGGTCAAAATTTTCAAATTTTGGGGTGTTTCATAAATTCGCCGCAATGTTTTAATCCTTTAGTCTGAAACAAATAAAGGTGCAAATTTTGGGATATTCAGATAATTAAATTGTTATTATAATTTTAAAACATGTCTATTATTTTTAAAATATTATATCAATCATCAAATTTTATGATGTTTATGGAGATTCTATCGTCATGTATTTTACTTCATTATTTCTTCTGCTTTTGTGTTAAATACGTATTAACAAGTTTTTCACTCGTTCTTGTTTTTTTGCTCATCTAGTAAAATATACCATAATTAAATTGATAAATATTAAACATTACTGCGTTATCAAATTACACTTTATCATCTGTGAACCAAGACAGATATTATGTAATTGGTTTACTGCGACTCTTGACAAATCACATAATTACTAATTATTATATTAATTTATCTGTTATGTAAAGATGATGGGTAACAAAGTTGACGAAATTAGGGATGGCAATAAAAACCTTTGATTGACTAAAGTTACACTGCACTAAATTTAAAATTTTTGTCTAACCGTTTTTTTTTAGCAAATTCTTTTAGGTTGATAACACTTGGGACTTTTATCATAAGGCGTAGCAATTAACTGCGTTTGTATCATCACACGATCTAACTGCGCCTTGTATCACCATCACAAATCTATTGCATGATTTAAAGAAATCAAAAATTTTTGATTTTCCCCTATGCACGAAATTTTCTTTTCTTCTCAAAAATAATTAACAAGCTGTTGTCCATCACTTTTTCTCAGATAAATCGACTTATTCATAAGTCAGTACCTTTTGTGATCTATCAACGTCCTTTAAAAATTCGTATCTTGCCCACCTTTCCTCAAAAAAACATTTTGAGCCAATTCTCTACTACACAAACTGCAAATATGAAATCCTATATACAATTAATTGGTAGTGGAACATTTGATGTACCACCTTCAATAATGATTCATTTTGATAGCCAACAAAATAGTCAAAGATATTTATTTAATTGTGGTGAAGGAACTCAAAGGTTTTGTTTACAAAATAAATTAAAAGTTTCCAAATTAAAAAATGTCTTTTTGACTAGAGTTAACTGGAATTGTTTCGGCGGACTTCCAGGTATTTAAATAAAATAATTTAAGGTAGATAGGTATTTTGACGAAATAATCAATATAAAATTTTTTTATTTGTTTCGATTTAAAAAAATTTCTTGGTTTTTCTGTCATAAATTTAATACATAATTTAGAATAAATTTGACTATGAAATTGTGATATAGCAAACGTTTTAGGGTGTAAATGAACAAGGTTATGCATTTACAAGAAATTCGGATTATTATTAGATATTTTGACAATAGAGGTTATCTCGGGATTTAGCAATCAGATTTATGTGATTTTTGCATCATTCGATTCCTCACACAAAAAAGAAATCTAACGGTAAAAATTACTAAATCAGATCATTGGATTCCAAGAAATCTTTATCGGAATAGTACAATATGGCAAAAATGGTTTTGTGATGAATTGAATAAAATCGAGATTCAACGATTAGATTCGAATAATTTCACTGAGAAACTAATTCTGATTACTGGATCAATTCTCTCTTCACCAAAATATCACTGTCTACCTTATATACATATTTTTAACAAATAGAATATTGTATGGGCAAATGAAATGTCTGACTATATATTTTTTGATTTCTTTGTTAGGTATGCTACTTACAATGGCTGATGCAGGTTCCAAAGAAATTAAATTATATGGTGGCCCAAATTTGACACATGCGATAACTGCGACTAGAGGTTTTATTTTAAGGTAAATGGTTAAAAATAATGTTACTATTTTAACAATAGTTATCTTTGTGTAATTTCATTAATATATTGTTTAATAAATAGATCAACTATGTCAGTGGAAACACATGAATTTCAAGAAGACGGGATGATGTTCAAGGATAATAATATGACTATATACCCAATATTTATTAATCCGGAAGAATCCAATAATAACATTTCATCCTCATCCTCACAAGAACAGGTTACCTTACCATTAAAACGCGCTAATGATTCTACACTTGATACCGTCGATAATACATCTTTACAATACAAAAAAGAAATTTTGTCTTTAATGTTTAATCAACATCACCAGCCTCATAATCCTAAAGGACAAAAAAAGTCAAAAACATACGAAGAAAATTCTGCATTAGACATTCCTGATGATGTACAAAATGATCAATCTTCATCTTCTAAAGATGATAAAGATTCTCTGATTCAACAACGTAGAAAATTATTTCCCAAGAGATTACCAAAATCCTGTCCTTCATCAACATCTATTGCTTATGTTTGTATAGGACCAGAATATAAAGGAAAATTTAATCCTGAAGCTGCTAAAGCCCTTGGTTTAAAGCCTGGACGCCAATATGGTTACTATTTACTTACTTCTTATATTTACATTTATTTGTTAATCCTCTAACTTCATGTTTATACTTCAGCCGACTTAGTGAATGGGAAATCAGTGACTGCCCCAGATGGAACAACTGTTCATCCAAACCAAGTTTTAGGTCCCTCTCGAGCCGGCACGGTAAACATATTATTTGTACTATATATACTTTCTTTTTAATAAATATATTTAATGTCCATATTATATATTCTATGTATTATATATTCTAGATCTTCATT